CAAGAGCGACTTCTTCCAACGATCCATGAGCAATTTGGTGATGATCCATGCATTTTCCAGCATGATGGAGCACCATGTCATAAAGCAAGAGTGATAAAGAAGTGGCTCGAAGATCATTACATTGAAATTTTGGATCCGTGGTCAGGTAACTCCCTGGATCTCAATCCCACTGAGAACCTGTGGTCAGTCCTCAAAAGGCGAGTGGACAAGCAGAAGCCCACAAATTGTGATCAACTCCGAGAACTAATAAAGCAAGAATGGATCGCCATCAGTCAGGATTTGGCCCAGAAGCTATTATCCAGCATGCCAGAGCGAATTGCAGAGGTTATGAAGAACAAGGGTCAACACTGTAAATATTGACTCATTATATTTTTTGCAAATAAAAGCCTTTAAAACTTATATGATTATCATTGTTTTTCAGTATACCATAGAAACATGTGGAAAAATAATCTACAAATACTGAAGCAGCATACTTTTGCAAAACAAAATTTATGTCACTGCCAAAACATTTGGCCATGACTGCACTGTAAAAAAAAAAAGAGTCAATGACTGTCAGTTACGGTTGCCAAACAAAAACCCTAAAATGAATGTCAAATATTCTAATTTAAATAAAGTGCAAAAAACTTTTAACAGAAATTGTTCTTATTTTTTTTTTTTTACAGAAAAACAATGTTATTTTAAAGATATTACCTGAACTATTAGGATCAAACACCTTAACTGAAAAAAAATGACTGCCAACAATGGCTACCAAACAAAAAAATATCCTAATTTAAATTAAAAAACAAACAAAAAACTTTACCAAAAAAACTGTTGTTTTCCAGGTATTTCCTGAATTATTAATAACAAACATGTTCATTGTAAAACATGATTTCTAACAGTTAACCAGAAACAGCATGCATGAAACAATGTAACTATATGTTACTGCTTCAGCAACTACACAATTACTGCTTTTGAATAAAACACCATGCAGCATAACATCAATGTTTCCTGTTCTTCTGCTAGACTGAAGCGCAGGTTCTACTCCTCAGCACAACGGTAACCTCACAAACTCACAGAAACCCTTTAAATCCCAACAGAACATTAACACTAACAAATCTCTCTAGAACTCAGCATCTTCACTTATTACAAACCAGTTTGCCCTTATTTCTATCATATAAAACAGAATTAATAGGTTTAGATGTTGATGTTTTACTAAAAATAATAAAGTTTGATGTCACCATCATGGTGGTCAGTGTTTGCTTTTGTTGGGCTCTTGACCTTTGAATTTTTTTAGTAAGTTTCTCTGTTTTTTTAACTGTGTCTTTTTGATATACATTTGTTACCGCAGGGAATTGAAGAGAAACTCTGATCTGATGATCGTGCTAGTCGCTCTATGGTGATAGTTTTCAAGACAATCATCAATAAGTGACCAACATCATCTGATCAGAGTTTTTCTTACATTTGTTTTGCCATAACAAAGATGTATCAGAAACACACTGCTAAAGCAAACAAGGAAAAACTGAGGAACTGATAAAACCAAGGGTCAAGAGCCCAACTAAAGGAAACACTGACCACCATAACGGTGACTTCACACTTGGTGCTGTTTTTATTTAAAAAGCATAATCTAAATTTCTGTTAATTCTCAATAAGAACTTTAGTATGAAAGAAATAAAGTAAACTGGATTGTAATAAGTGAAGATGCTCAGATCTAGAGAGATCTGTTAGTGTTTAATGTTCGGTTGCTGCCAGTTTTTTTTTTTTTTTTTTTTTTCACTTTATTCACATAAATTTGACCTTTTTTCTTATGTTTTTTACTGTTTTAACCTGTTAGCGTTCCAAAAAAAAAAAAAAAAAAAAAGACTTAATTTTTTCTTGGTATGAACAACATTTTAAAAATCTAAAGAATCTTTTTCCACTAGAAAGAACATTTTGAACAATGGAAAGGTTCCATAGATCTTAAAGTTTCTTTATAAAATGACAATAAAAACCTTTGTTTTTAAGGGTTTATAGGGACATTTTCACTCATTTCATACACGCGAATGCTAAAGGGTTAAAGTGAAAGTGTTTGATTACAATAATTTAGAAAATACCTGTAATTTTCCGGTTTATACAAATAAGGATGTACTTTAATTTAAAAAAAATTTTTTTTTATTTTTTTTTTGGCAGCCGCTGCTGCCATTCATTTGACCATTTTATTTATTTTTTTTAAAGGTGAAGGTGTTTGGTCATAATAATTCAGGAAATTCCTGTAAAATAACATTTTTTTTTTAATGTTTTTGTTTATTTAAATTACGATATTTCACTTTAATTTGATGATTTTTGTTTGGCAGCCGCTGCTGCCGGTTTTTTTTTACGATTTTTTTAAAAGGTGAAGGTGTTTGGTCATAATAATTTAGTAAATTCCTGTAAAATAACAGTGTTTTTTTTTTTTGGTTTATTTAAATTAGGATATTTCACTTTAATTTTATGGTTTTTGTTTGGCAGCCACTGCTGCCAGTCATTTGACCTTTTTTAATGTTTTTTTTAGGTAGGCAGTTCTAGTTCCCAGCATGCTTTGCATAGGACTGGATAAGGAGAATAAATGTTGAAATTGTGTTGATTTATTTGTTTTTATTGGGAAAGGGAAAGACCTGTTATTGTTTAATGCTGTTATGTTTGACATTTAAAAGTTTCTATAATGTTGAAGTTTTTTTTTTTTTTTTACTGTTTAATTACAGATTATTTTTGTAATTTTACATACATTTGTATGTAATTTAAGAAAAAAGAAGAAACACTGTATAAACAATACAGTAATATTTCTGTATAAAAAATGTGAATTACTCTAATGTATTGTTAATGTCATGATACTTAAAATAACAGCCAATTTATTAATTTACAGATACTGTTGGTAATTTTACACAGTTTTGACCACAAACTAGAAAACTGAAATAAAAAAAAATCACAGTTATTTTCCTTAAAATTAAGAATTTTTTTACAGTGTGTAGGTCTACTTCTACAGGTGAGAATACTTTTAGACTGAATGTGACCATTTAAAAGAAGTCCCTCAATGATTTTTTTTTGTCGCAGAACACAGTACTTCATCATCTGAGTCTGAAATAACATCTTTTTCCATTTTTTTTTTTAGTATTTTCACAGCCTGTATCTTCCACAGCATCTACTAGTTCAACTTCTACAGGTGAGGATAATTCTAGACTGAATGTGGCTTCTTAAAATTAATTCCTTTTGATGATTTTTTTTTTCATGAAGACATAGTTCATCATCTGAGCGTGATTTAAAATCTGTTTCCATCTGGTATTGTTCCAGCTTCTTTACACATGGTCACTTCCACAACATCTACCAGTCCCACTACTACAGGTGAATGTGTTGCTGTACTGGAACGTGGCTTTCAAGAGAAGCTCCTACTAATTAATTATCTTCATGGCGAACACAGTAATTCAGCATCTAAATCTGGTTTAACATCTGTTTTCACATGTTGTTGTTTCAGTTCTTTTACAACCGGTCACTTCCACACCATCTAGTTCTACATCTACAGGTGAAAATAATTCTAGACAATGTAACCATTTAAAATAAATCCTTCAATGATTGTCTTCTTGCAGAGCACAGTGGTTCATCATCTGTTATTGTTTCAGTCTCTTTACAGCCAGTCAATTCTACAACATCTACTGGTTGTACTTCTACAGGTGAGGATAATTCTAGACTGAATGTGGCTTCTTAAATGAAATTCCTCTTAATGAATTTCTTCAGGAAGAACACAGTAGTTCATAATCTGTGTCTGATTTAGAATCTGTTTCCATCTGGTATTGTTCCAGCTTCTTTACACATGGTCACTTCCACAACATCTACTAGTCCCACTACTACAGGTGAATGTGTTGCTGAACTGGAATGTAGCTTTCAAGAGACACTCCTTCTAATAAATGTCTTCATGATTAACACAGTAATTCAGCATCTAAATCTGATCTAACGTCCATTTCCGTTTCCCCGCCAGCTTTTTTGAAAAAGGTTGTTAGCCACCGCCAGCGTTTTTGCTGATTTTCACTAAAATTTCATGGCCCCCTGAATATTTTGATTTATGAATATCTCAAAACACAATACATCAAAATAAAGATCATACCCTCTGCTTTCAAACAAAAAAAATGCAACATTTTGAGCAAAATGCTGAGAAAAATCGCATTTTTATCAAATACTACATCTGGATCATATTCAGTAATATTATCAAAGCAAAGATGCAGTAGATGGCTTCCACCAGTACTCCCAAAGCTTGCACAGGCCTTTAACAGTTTCTGGATTGACATTTCACTCTGTAACATTAGGCAGTTTTCATTTATATGCGGTTAGTGTTGATGATCGCATTATTTTTCATATGCATATGATTAGATATGAGATCGCTGGTTTCTGCGTCTTCCTGGGGCCCGTTCTTCATAGGTTGCTTAATACATCTGAGATGATTTGAAAGATGCCAGATCTTCTAATAATGATAACTGATCTCTGGCTAATTTGCTTCTTCAAACGAATTTGCGGATTTGATTAAAATATGTGGATTAAGTTGTCTAAGATTACTGCGCGTACTCGTGTTCCCCGAAAAGGGCAGATGTATCGATACTCGAAACCACGATCAGCAAAAGACAGCAGCGTAATGACATCATATAATTAAAAAAGACGCCTGACGAAAAAGCTGACAAATTTCTGGATTTTTATACAGAAACAGCGAGTCGAACAAAACTGCATTTTTTTTACATGATTCCCAAATATTTATATTCACGATTTCAAATATTTGTGCAGGCTTTACTTTTTTATTTCAATGTAGTAATGAGCAATTCATTTAATTTTAACTTTGAAACAGATTTGTTGCGTGACAGCATTAATTAAAGTTTCTTAAGGGTCAAGATCATGTTATCTGCATCTCCTGCACTCCATCAAGCCACTCCCATAATATCTGTCAGCACTCAAATTAATGCACGACTCTACATTATCTGTATAGCATGTGTGTGAGACTCTAATACAATTATGAAGTAATTATTTTATGACAAATAAATCTTTCAGTGAGTAAAACTGTATTATAGACTACACAACATTATAATATTATTTTTAAATTAATTTTTAAATAATTATTATTTTAAATTACTCTCCCTGGATCAGTAGGATACTCTTGCAATAAAGTGGCGGTGGCTGGGATAGATTTTAAGTATCAATTCTGCTGAGAAAGATGCAATCTAATCCTGTTTACATGAAATAAGCTGCTCCTGAGCAGGTTTAAGATTAGGGGCCTGTTGCTATGACAACAACTCCGGGATGAGCTTCGAAGAACCACACAATCCAAGATCACGCCAAATCACCAACAATCAAATCCAGCTAACTGAGTTGGCAAAGTACGAAGAATGGGCCCCAGGTCTGTGTTTTTGATCAGCACTTTCCAGACTCATTCAGGAGATGTGTAATAGCGCCCCCTAGCATATACCAGTAAAACACAGAAAATTCCGTGTTTGGCAGGGAAGCGTTGTCTCATGAATATTGGAAAATTCCATGTTTGGTGGGGAAAGAGTTAATCATTGAGTTAACCCCCACCCCCAAACGCTCTGCATATTTTGCATGTCGCTCTTGTCTAAAGGCGGGCGTACACGGTGCGATTCTGAAGGTCGGAACGTCGTGAGCTCTGGCACATGTCACGATTGAGTTTATCCGAAAATCGTACGGAGGCAGTCACACACGACACGAATTTACTACTTCGCAGGGCACTTACGGTCGAATGGAACAAACCTTGGAAGCGAAACATACAAAATGCAAAATGTGCAGAGCAGGGGTTGTGAGGACCAGGATTATTAACCGCTGTTCTAGACTGAATGTGGCTTCTTAAAAGAAATTCCTCTTGATTATTTTTTTCATGAAGAACACAGTAGTTCATCACCTGAGTCCAATTTTGTTTCCATCTGGTATTGTTTCAGCTCCTTTACACATGGTCACTTCCACAACATCTACCAATCCTACTACCACAGGTGAATGTGTTGCTGAACTGGAATGTGGCCTTCAAAAGAAGCTTCTCCTAATAATTGTCTTCATGAAGAATACAGTAATTCAGCATCTGTGTCTGATTTAACATCTGTTTCCACGCTGTTGTTTCAGTTAATTTACAACCGTTCACGTCCACAACATACACTAGTTCTACTTCAACAGGTGAAAATGATTTTAGACTGAATGTGACCATTGTTGCATAACACAGTACTCCATCATCTGATTCTGATTTAATATCTATTTCCTTCTTTTTTTTCAGTGTCTTTACAGCCAGTCACTTCCACAACATTTACTAGTTCTACTTCTACAGGTGAGGATAATTATAGATGGAATATGTTTTTTTTTTAAAGAAATTCATCTTGATGATTTTCTTCATAAAGAACACAGTAGTTCATCATCTGAGTGTGATTTAGAATCTGTTTCCATCTGGTATTGTTTCAGCTTCTTTACACATGGTCACTTCCACAACATCTACTAGTCCCACTACTACAGGTGAATGTGTTGCTGAACTGGAATGTGGCTTTCAAGAGAAGCTCCTCCTAATAATTGTCTTCATGTTGAACACAGATGTGAAAGCATATTTAAATGCTGAATTTCTGCTTCCACATGTTGTGTTTCAGTTCTTTTACAACCAGTCACTTCCGCAACATCTACAAGTTCTACTTCTGCAGGTGACAATAATTCTAGACTGAATGTGACTATTTAAAATAAATCCCTTAGTGATTTACTTGTTGCAGAACACCGTAGTTCATAATCTGAGTCTGATTTAACATCTTTTTCCATCTGTTATTATTTATTTATTTATTTTTAATTTTTGTAGTTTCTTTAAAGCCAGTCACCTCCGCAAAATCTTCTAGTTCTACTTCTACAGGTGAGGATAATTCTAGAACAGCGGTTCTTATATCCTGGTCCTCGGGACCCCCACTGTGCATATTTTGCATATCTCTCTTGTTTAACTCACCGGATTCTAATCAACAGCTCGTTAGAAGAGAGCTCCATGAATAAACTGTGTTCCAATTGACATGGTCCTTACACAGTGTTCACTGCTCTCTACTCCCTGTACACAGGAAATTGGCTAACTTAAGAACACTGATTTGTGCTGATCTGTGCTAGACTGAATGTGGCTTCTTAAAATAAATTCCTCTTGGTGATTTTCTTAATTAAAAACAGAGTAGTTCATCACCTGAGTCTGATTTTGTTTCCATCTGGTATTGTTTCAGCTTCTTTACACATGGTCACTTCCACAACATCTACCAGTCCCACTACTACAGGTGAATGTGTTGCTGTACTGGAATGTGGCTTTCACAAGAAGCTCCTCCTAATCTGAGTCTGATTTAACAGCTGTTTCCATATGTTGTGTTTCAGTTACTTTACCGCCAATCACGTCCACAGCATTTACAGGTCATACTTCTACAGGTTAGTGTGATGCTGGACTTCCTTTCATCCAAGTTTTGGTGCTGATTTCTGCCTCCTTAATGTTAACAGTCACTAGCACATAGGGGAGAGCGGGGCACAACCTAACACTTTTGAGTATAATTTATCCACAGTAATTTCACACTTGTGTAGCTGTGTTGTCATCTCCAAGTATGAAGGGCATTTTCTCAGTATCACTAAGTTCAGTAAATGATGGAATCAGTGCTTCAAATCTGGGGAGAAATGTTTCTCTCACATTGTGATATTTATGACAAATCAGCAGAAAGCATTTCTCGTCCTCTATTTGCTGTAGATCACAGTGTCTACTGATCCTCTGCTCTTGCTCTGTCCATGTGTGTCTATGTCTTCCTCTCTCTATTTCTAAATCATGGCTATTTAATCTGTATTTGTATAATATTAAAGGTTTTTCCACCAATACCAATTTTTAGGAGTTTGTACAGTAAACCATCATGCCAAATTGAGTCGAATGCTTTTTTTAAATCGAGAAAACGTGCAAATATTTTCCTTTGTTTGTCCTTGATGTTTTTATTAATTAGTGTATGAAGAGAGTGGATGTGGTCAGATGTGCGATGTTTTGGTAGAAAACTAATTTGAGCTTTATTTAAAATATTGTATGTTGAGATGAATGTGACAATATGCCTGTTTATTATTCTGCAGAACAGCTTTCCTAAAGTACTGCTCACGCAAATGTCACGATAATTATTGGGGTCAAATTGATCACTTTTTTAAAATAGGGGGGTTTGTTAAAAGTTGATTTGTCAAAATTACAAAACAAATTATGAAGAATAATTTGTAAAAAAAACAAAAATATATATATATAAATTTGCATAGGCTTGCTGCTAAATTGAGTGCAAAACGATGAATACATTTCAAACACAAATGATAGTGTCAGTCAGATAACACATCACTCAGACAAACATTATATTTTAGGCAAGATAATGCTATAAACTAGGGATGTCCCGAGCCGATCTCAAAGATCGGGATCGGGGCCAATCAAGCATTTTTTTTCAACCCAGTCTCACGCCATTTCATGACATAATCACAAAATTTTAATCTATTGATTCGTGTTCTTGGACACGAATTTCCATTTTTTTTTTCGTGTCACTCAGCACGACTTTCAGTGTAATGTATTTCAATAGGGATTATCTCGGTGCAGGGTACCCCTTTAGTGTTTAAATCTTCGCATTTGTAAAACTAGAAATTATTTTATATTTATTATTTTTGACCATCTAACACCACTCCATGGTTTTATGTTGGACATATGATTGTTACATTGGTAATTCCAACGTAACAATGCAATTTACCTTGCTTGTGAGGAACGTCATGTAGCTTTTAAGTTGCTAAACTATTTTACTGATAAAATTGTCATAGTAGCGCTAACAACGTTAGCGTCTGTGTGTTTCTGTATTATATGTGTGTGCGTCTGTAAGGTATGTGTATGGAAAGAGTATGTGCATTCCGTACATAATAAAACTTCATTTTGTGGCAAAAACATGGAAATAATATGTCGTTTTTATTTAGATGCAAATTGTAATCTAAGAGATTCTGTGTACTTTTTTTTTTTTTTTGGTCATAAAAGTAATATCTCTTGTCTTATCCGAATTTAATAAGAGAAAATTATTGAAATATATAGTTGAGTATCATCATGAATTCATGAAGACTCTTCACATTCCAGGTCTGAACATCACGCCGCTAGAAGAATGCAGGGTAAGTTGTTGCGGGCGTTAATTTCTGAAATTGTAATTGGAGGGTTGGACTCATATGAATAAAAATTGAAACAACAGCACAATAAAACAGTATAATGTGTACTGTTTTGTATTTTTGTCATTGTTTTTGGTTCTTTGCATATACTTTGTAGATACAATTAACTTTTATTTGACTTAAAACATTATCAAAATCACCAAATACTCCACAGTGCACACTCATTGTTCTATTTCATTTATAAAGCTCGTTTGTAATTTCAGACCACAGGACGGTGTGTAGATCTTCTTGACAATATAGAGAACATGACAGCAGAAGTGCTTCCATTGACAGTAAGACAACATTACAACATAATCATTATTTGTCACTTGCATAAATTATCATGCAGCAAAGCTTTCTTTTGTTCCAACATTTACAAATAATCCTGTTTATATGATCACTAAAATAGAATGTGACCAGCATTTTGAATGTGGTCCTCAATGCTTCAGACATGTTTTTGGAGTCATCGTCAGCTGACCCAAATAAACTGGTGTCATATGGAAACCGTATGTTAAAAGCCAGTGAGAAACTCGTGGCCATGCTCGTAAAACCAACAAACACAAGTGACTATGTCACTTTTACTCTTGACACTTTGAGTAAGTAAAAACCAAACTATGAATAAACAGTGAAATTACTGACTTAATGTGCTCAAATCTAGAAAACCTTTGAAATAACTTTTGACATTTTCAGATGACCTTATTGTTAATACATTTTCATTCACATATCTGTACTTTTTAATCAGAGGTAGAAATCTTCATGGTTGGACCACAGGTCACCCTAGAGAAAATCCCTAGACTTAACACGACAGATTCTTCTGTGGACATCGATCTCATTGGGATCGCCAAGAACAACAATGAAACAAGTATGTTAAATATTGTGATGTGATTTTATCAAACAAAAGAGATAGAATACAACTAAACGACATTTACTTACGTTTTTTATTGTATAGTTGAATGGAAGTTTTAATATTTGTTATTATTTATGTGTTTCTGTTACACAGGATCAGCTGCTGTGGCTTTCATGAGCTACAACATGATGGAGAAACTACTGAAGCCAGACTTCTTCAACACACCAAAAGACACCATTAAAACCATGATGTCCACTGTGATCTCAGCTACTCTTCCCAAAACCACCAACACTAAACTCACCAAACCAGTCAACTTCACCCTAAAACACATCAGAGTGAGACACTGAAATGTGTTTGTCCAACTTGAGAAATAATGAACATCTGAAAATACCTAATATTCACTTTTATAATTAGGGGCCAAGCACCGAAGGTGCGATGGCACCTATTGTATCCGTTGGCGTTCTTCTTCTTCTTCTTCTTCTTCTTCCGCCATTGCGTCTATGGCAGCCCATAGAACCGTTTGTGGGAAAGTTATGAAATTTGGCACACGGATAGAGGACAGTCTCAACATTAAGCATAGCAAATTTGGAGTCTCTAACTCAAACTCTCTAGCGCCACCACTTGTCCAAAATTTCACTCATGTTTATGCTAATAACTTTTGAACCGTAAGGCACAGAAGGAAAATTAAAAAAATCCTCTGAATCCTTGGCTCATGCCGAGTCGAATGGACACCAAAATGTAAGTTATGTATGTAAGTTTTAGTTTTTTCGCTATTTTCAATTGTTCGAAAAAACTATTTTTTTTAACTCGTTCTAGACGGCTTGTCTGATTTTCCCCAAAATTAGCTCAGATCATCTTGAGACCATGCTGGCAAAAAGTAATGGGATTCAAGTTGATTAGTCAAACCGTTCTCGAATGACACGCGAACGAATTCTACAAAAATTGCTTGCTTCTGAGGTTCTTGGCCCCATAATTGCTGCTTGAAATGAAAGTGATGTATGTAAGTTTTAGTTTTTTCGCTATTTTCAATTGTTCGAAAAACCTATTTTTTTTAACTCGTTCTAGACGGCTTGTCTGATTTTCCCCAAAATTAGCTCAGATCATCTTGAGACCATGCTGGCAAAAAGTAATGGGATTCAAGTTGATTAGTCAAACCGTTCTCGAATGACACGCGAACGAATTCTACAAAAATTGCTTGCTTCTGAGGTTCTTGGCCCCATAATTGCTGCTTGCAGCTATATTATATTCTTTATGTTCGTTCTTCATTTTGCAGGAGTTTGATCCCAGTGGTTCTCTGTCCTGTGTGTACTGGAATATCAGAGAGTGGATTGTAGATGGTTGTTCTGTTTTAGAGACCAACAGCAACTACACTGTGTGTTCCTGTGATCATCTGTCGACATTCGCTCTCATTATGCAAACCAGCCATCCACCAGAGGTACAAGAAATGTATAGTTAACACTGAAGAAAATCACAGATTTGGCACTCATGTTCTCTTACATGTTTTCTCAGAACGACCCACTGCTGGATCTGTTGAATTTGGTGTGTGTGATCGTGGGGCTGGTGTTCTTCAGTTTGGCCCTGTTGACCTTTGTCCTTTGTCAGTGGAGTCCTGGAGTGAATAATGTGGCTCGAATCAACATCTGCATCAGTCTTCTGCTGGCTCATCTTCTGTTCCTGCTCACGCAGCGGTTCCTGAACCTCATACAGCCTCTGCAGGTAAGAATAATGAAGGAGCCCTACAGCTCAGCACAGCCTCACTGAGAATCATCATAACCGTCTCTCATGGTCTCCAGGTGTTGTGTGCCGTGATCTCTGGCCTTCTGCAGTTCTTCTTTCTCTCCGGCTTTGTGTGGATGCTCATTGAAGCAGTGCTGCTCTTCATCTGTGTGAAGAACCTATCACAGATCGGCTCCATTAATAGGGAGGTGCTTAGCAGTGGATTCCTGTGTGTGATTGGATATCTGGTTGCTCTGGTTGTGGTGGCCGTGTCTGCTGTGGTGGATCCTAAAGGCTACGGAAGTGAAAAGTGAGTTTAGTTGGAGTAACTCATTGCTACGACCCGGCTCAAAGTCACAACATAAAGAGGACACTTCACAAAATGAGTTTCAATAAAGAAAATATATGTATTTAAAGTTAACCAAATAATGTCTAGGGTCAGAATATTAAAGAATAATGAAAGGAACAACAAATCAAATAGCTGCTGGAAATGGGGTTTGTGGAGTTGTGGCAACAAAAATGGGAACACACAATCTCAAGAACCCACTCTTCAAACAAGAACACAAAACAAAAATGAGAGAGAGTGAGCCAAAATCCATGAGCCTCTTAAATAGAGTGCCACAGGTGCGGCCCATGATCAGCACTAGAGTTCCACCCCTCAAGGAGGAGCCTCTGTCCCTGCAGTCTCACAACAAAAGACAAAGGGAAAAAGGGCAGGGCTGTAACACCATCATCTTCGCCCATGTTTGTTTACTGATTGTTTTATGTATCTCCCCCCAAATAGGTGCTGGATTAAAATAGATAAAGGCTTCATCTCAAGATTTCTGGGACCTGTTTGCATGATACTAACGGTAAATGCATTTCTCATGTAACTTTTCTCATGACTTTTGTATTAAATGGAAAACAATGGAATGAAGTCAAACATGATTCTCTTCATCAAAATCATCATCAGTTTAAACTCAACTCTCAAAAATCTCAACGCTGAAGTTTCACATATAAAACAAACCAAGTAACAAACATTATGATTTAATCACTCTATATAAATAACATATAGACAATGAAGACACCTTAACTCTTTCTTTCTCTGTTTCTCTGCAGGATTATGGTGTTTAAAACACTGGGCCAGTTTGTGGTTCTTGGTTGCTCCTAGAAATTTTTCCATTCTACTTTATAATAGACCATTTCAGTTGCACCACAGACAGTATATGGAAGAAAAGTAAAGCAGCAGTATTTACTTCTCATGCAAATCTAGGCTTTACAAAATACCTTTCTGGTACCTGTTTAATATAAAAAAAATGCTCTGGTTACTAACGTAACCTCAGTTCCCGGAGATAACAGGAACAAGCATTGCATGAAACATCCTTTGTGAGAAACTCTGTTTCCTTTGGAAACTGAAGCCTGATTTGTTAACGTTCATGTAGCTGCACAAACAAATGGCATTTCAGCCCAGTAAAACGGGTGGGGCAAACTGCCTATATAAGTTGGCACTGAGTGTCATTTCAGAATCTTTCATCTGATGACCAACTGCGTTGACTCGCTTGCAGCTTCATAGCACGTACACAATGTTCCCGTTCTCGCTCCTGTTATCTCAGGGAACCGAGGTTACATTAGTAACCGGAGCATTACCTTTCAAAATCTCACATTGTGTGAACCACATTTTGGGGAACGATGTCCAATAGCGCTGTGCTGTATAAGGGCAGAACGAAAAGGAACTCCATGAGCCGAGCTCCAGGGAGCCTGATATGAGAGTCCTAAAGGAAGCATGAGCACAACAGGCCTGGAATCAGCCAGACCCTCTACAAAAAAATATCCTTGACCACTAGCAGGGACACAGGATGACTAGGTGGACAAAATCCACGCCTGAAGGGCAGGGATTTCTGGGTTATAAAAGGTAGGTAGACAGTGAAGATCCACTGGCTGCCCCACAAATATCTCCAGACTCTGCTGGACCAAGCCCAGGAAGAGGCCATTCCCCTGGTGGAGTGGGCGCTCACTCCAATAGGACACTGTGAGCCCACTGAGGCATAAGCCAGTGCTATAGTACCAACTATCCAGCAGGATAATATTTGCTTCATAACTGGCAGCCCTTTAGACATAGGCATCCAAAGCACACAAAGAGCTGCTCTGATTGCCAAACCTGGCTAGAGTGCTTTATATCAATTCTGCCTGGACCAGAAAATGGCTACAACAGGCCTTGAGCCAGTATTGAAGGTGCCACATATAAAGCAGGCCCAACGGAATTACAGAGGAGGCAGCTGCCATCAGGCCCAGCATCATCTGGAATATTCTGAGGGCATTCCCAGGATGGCTTTCCAAGGCTGGAGCCCCAGGCGGCAAGGTGTCTGAATTTCTCGAATGGAATGATTGCTGCATGGAAGCATGGAAGCATGGAAGCGAGGGGGGGTGGGTGTTCTTTTTGACACACTGTAAAATCCAATAGTTTACCTTACTTAGATTTAATTAGTAATCTTTACTTAGTTGTTATACTTACTAGGTTTTATTAAGTTACAGCTACTTTTAAGGTAAATAAAACAATTTACTTACTGTTTTGAGTGACACTTAAAATATTCAAGTAGCCACAAAGGAACCAATGACATTAATAAAGCAGTGAGAGGCAGCAGTGCACTAATATGTTGCTAATGTGCAACATAACAACAGAAGAAGAAGAAAAGAAAAAGCGTCTTAATAGACTTTTCACTCATTTCCTCAAGTCATCTTGAATGTTGAATTCTCAATACAACTGAAATATTTGAGAGAACATCACATAAGCTCACTTCATAAATTGATGTTGATTTTCCTAAAAATGTTTTTTTTTAATTCACCATTATAGTGATTAGTGTTCCCTTTGGTTGGGCACTTGGAACTTAGTTTATGTAACTATAATTTTCTTCCTGTTAATGCAGCAATGCATCATGAAGTCAGAGTTATTTGAGTTCAAGGAAAGATAAGTAATAAATAGGTTGCTTTTAGAAAGTGACCTATGTTCTAATTATAGCAATAGTGAATTTATTGTGTGTGATTGTTAATGAACTTTTTCAAATTTCATTAATCATAAATACCTTGAGATGATCTTAATTGGGTTTGTAAAATTCTTAAATAGTGTGTGGTAAAATGCTAAAGTCATACACAGACTTAAATATTCAGCACGTGAATCACAACAATGGTAACATTTCAATTTAATTTATTTTCATTAATTGTAACAATAACCATTTTATTCGCGCTTTTTGATGTGCTGGCTTGGACTGAACTCCAGCAGGTGAGCTGGAGTGCTTTAGCAGGAAGTGGCGCATAGCTTGCACTGACTTCTGAACTGCAATGAAGCATTCTGCAAACCCGTCCACAGCCGAAAAACCTAGTGGGGGAGACTGGGGAGTCGATGGAGGCCGGACCTATCCATGGTGTGGAGGAGTTAGTTTTGGAAAACTGCCATTGTGTGGAGCGCTGAGCCAGCCTGGTCAGCCGCGGAGTAGGCCCTACCCAATAGGGCTTAGGTGGTCCTGCAGGGCTTGGATGGATGAACGGTCTTGGCTTTCAGTCCCAAAGATGAGGGTGGGCAGAGATGTGCAGTGACAGCCTCTTCAAGAGGAGGAAGCTTCTCACAGCCCTTTTCTTCACTGCCGTCAATGGATAGAAAGGAAATGAAAGCAGAAAAATGGATGTGGGCCAAATCTTCTAAGCCGAGTAGCAGGCTTCTTCCTTCTTCTTCAGAGTCCAGCAAGGAGATGATCTTCACGCTGAAGGAAAAAGATTCTGATGAAATGGCACTCAGCGCCGACTTATATATGCAGTTGGCCCCACCCATTTTGGAAGAATTAAATGCTATTTGTTCATGAAGCTACATGAACGTTAACAAATCAGGCTTCAGTATTGGGAGTAAACAGAGTTCCACCAATGCTTTTTTACAAAAGGGAACTTCATTTTTGTTCATGAGTTTTATAAGTCACTCAGCTCTTCTCATCCCATTCTTATCCAGGTCAGGCAGCAGTACAGGAAGTTCTTCAAATGTCTTTGCTGTATCAAACAACAGGACTACAGCATCATGTTCAGAAAGTAAAAAGTACTGCTAAAGTGTCAATAATATACAGGTTAATTTATGTTATATTAAAATACACCGCATAATTAATGTTTTTGAATGTTAGTCTCACCTCTTTTTTGTTAATGTTATATTAAATAAATATATTACTAGTGTACTTATATTAGAGCTGACAGTACTAAAGGGCAAAAAAGAGACACCTTGAAAAATCTTACTAAATAAATGTTTTCTTACTTTATATAAACTTAATATAAAAAAAAAAAGTACCTCATGCCCATGCCCAAATGACTTTAAATTGTACAGGATCATCGTTAAAGAAAATTTTACATGTTTAATCTGTGTATTATCTCAACAACTCAACTCACAACTGAAACACTTTTTAAGCGTTTTTGTCTATTAAAAGGGACTTTGAAAAGATGTTTTCCAGCTGAACAGTGTATATAATTCATTAAACATGCTGTACCTGTCCCTCACAGCCCCCATCCCCCCCCCCAGAGCTATTATAATTAGAAACTTTAGATTAATAACTCCTCACAAAGACTGAATCTGGGGGAAGATTGTATTGTTATTGTCAATGACAAACCGACATCACCTGGTTGCAGTCACTTTTTGGTACTCCTTGCCATAACAAATAATCAGTGGCGTAGCAAGTCAGCCCCGGCCCCATATGCAAAAAAATTTGTATGCTCCCCCAAACGTTATTGGCTCCAACTCGGTTAACTTATTGTTGATTTTAACAAATGTTTCATGAAATCGATCAGTTAGAGTTTCAAAAAACGTCAACAAGCCTACCTTTTATTGCTGTTTTTTATGTTAAATGTGAAGAATGACAGGTTGGATGCCACAGACTTTTTATTTTATTTATTTATTTATTATAGGTGGTATAGTATAGGTGGAATTTTCACATTAACTTCACTTTATTTTATTTTATTTTATTTTATTTATTTATTTATTTATTTATTTTGGCGGCGTATAGGTGGAATTCTCACATTAACTTCACACAATAGGCCTATAACCTGATTTTATTATCGTAATTTTGACTTTATTTTTAAAATATTATGACCTTAATCTTATTTTTCAACATGGTACTAAAATGTCGCCGTAGGCTATTTGTACTGCATGCAAGCACAATCTTGGCACAGAAGCCCAAAAAACAAAAACAAACAATAAATAAATAAAATACTAAGGAGCTATTTGAATTATTTATTAATGACTTTTCTGAGTCAGTGTCACAAGATGAAGTTGATGATCCTGACTCGCCATCTCCTCAGGACGTGCGCCTTTAAATACATCTTTACGGATTAGCCTATATAATGAAAGAGATTTTGTTTTCTATTTGAATGATTTAGTTTCAAAGTATTTAAGGCATTCTATTAGATATATTTATCATGTCTGTGAGGAGGCAAGTATTCACGGAGTGTCGGTTCATCATTGTGAAGCGCTCCTGCTCAAGACCAAGACATATTGTTTGTGAGTGCACACAAATAAAAGTAGACCCTTTACAATTCCGAATGATGCATTACTCTTACCTTTATGAGCAAAAATGATGGCGTATGTTAAGTTTCCGATCTTAAGAAAAAAATGCAAATGATCGCACTGGCGCCTCCATGTCCTGCAAAGCGCGCTTCAGCTTCCACTCTCCGCACGAACGACTGTATATGGGTCTAACAGCACACATTTACCTAGGTTAAATTTTTTAATTAATATTGTGAATTGCATGAAGTGTTTTATGTCTATAGATTTTATTTTAGGCAAGTCATGTTGATTTGAGAAGGCTAAATTGATCAAACATATATGCTCAACTCAGTCCGCCGCTGGCCGCTTGGTCGTTACTTAAAAAAAAACAACAAATTGAATTTAACAAACATAAAATGTTCCAAACATATTTCTAAATTAACTTATAAATAAATAACGTTAAATAAACGAAAAGAAATATAACCACTTTGCCATTAAAAACCAAAACTGGACTAGCCTATTTGCTGCAACAGCAGCTGTGTAAAGGGGAAGAAAGAGAGGGAGAAAAAAAAGACACAGGCTTGGGTCAGACTCAAGCCAAGAATATTCTGATAAGCTGTCGGAAGGGCCGGGCCGGGACCGTGCAGGGCTCTATTCATTCC